ATCCCAGCCTGCAAAATGATAATAATCTTATCAAACTTTATCGTAATATTATTAATACAAGATAATAGTAGAGTACTATGCATTACAATATCGTACCAACAATATACCAAACATCAGTATATCGCAATTTTTTGGTAAGATAACCGTATGAAATTTTCCATTATCATAAGTTACGATCGATACACAAATAATGATAAAAAAAAACTTCCGTTTTCCTACCAATGTCAACCCTATTATGAACCGTAGCATCCAAAATCTAGTATAAAAAAAAATTGGGTAAATTACAAACACCCCCCTGAGGTATGGTCAAATTACAAAAACACCCCTCTTGTTTGGATAATTACAACCACCCCCTCAACTCCTCAAATTTAGTGGAATCTTCAAGATTATATGGAATATTATCACTTTTGTACCCATTTTATCCTATTCAAACTCTACATTATGAAGCAAGATGATCATAATATGTGATTTTTAGCTTGTATATATCAGTTTGTGGTGATCAGAAACTGTATTTTTTACACAAAACGAGTACAAACTAGAGCACATTTCACGGAATCTAGATGAATATGTTGAATTTGGCACCATAAAGGTGGAGGTCTAAGAAAAAATCATAGTGGAGGGGGTAGATGTAATTATCCAAACAAGAGGGGGGTTTTGTAATTTGACCATACCTCAGAGGGGTGTTTGTAATTTACCCAAAAAAATTATATGATCACCTGAATTATAAATAAATAAATAAAAATATCAAAAAAAAAAAGGAAAAAGGAAAAAGAAAAAGAAAAAAAACCCTAGCTAGGTGGTTCTTATGTGGCTACTATTTTTTAGTCTTGACTGCTTCAGTCAAAGTCAACAGATACAGGTATAAAGTAGCTTGGATTAAAGCGAAAAAACAGTTCAGTTTTAGTTGAGTTCTTTATTATTTTTATTTTAAATATTTATTTTTATTTTTTTTCTGTTTCTTTTTTGGCCACGGAACTTCTTGGTTGTGTCAAAAAGATCATTGGATGTGGTGGAATTGTGTAAATGTAGAATTTGTCAGTTATTTCATATATTTGTTTTGGAAATAGTGCTAATTGCTTTTATTTCTTTCTTTATTAAAATATTTATTCTGTTGACTAATTGTGATTTTTAATCCCACTTTGCACCTTTGGAATATTGTTCTTGGTATTTTGTACCCATGAAAAAAGTTAATACCACTTTGGGCCCTTGAAAAATAATAAACCATACATAATGTACCCAAATGGATTTTGAAGGTAATTTAATATTTTTTAATAGTATTTTTTTAGGATACCAAATCTCAAATATTTTTTTTTTATATTCACCCGTCTTTTTGAAACTGTAAAGTGCAAAAATCAAAATACATCTCATCAATTTATAAATACATTAAAAAAAACATTTTATAAAAAACAAAAATGATATCCTTCAACTATTTTGTGATCAATTTATTTGAAATATATATTTTCTTCCAAAGTTTTCGATCAAATATTTTCACTAATTACAATAAAAGATCCATTAATCAGATAATTTAGTGATATAAGTTTTTGTTTAAGAAATTATAGTTTTTTTCAGTAATTCGTTATCCTTTTTTTTCTGTTGCATTTTGTACACTCGAATTTATGAGGTAAAAGAAAATAACAATTTAATGGTTATTTTACACCTTGGAAATAACAAAAAAACAATAAAAATTTGAAATTACCCTCATCAAGTTTTAGATATTCATTTTGATATACCTATTGGGCCAGGTCAATGAACCCACGATTTATTTATTTACTTGTAACAGGCCAAGTTCAGAAGTTATTACTACAAAAGCCCATACACCTTCAAAGAAGGTTTGCGGGCCCGATAATTTGAGATCTATCAATTAAGGAACTATAAATAGAATTTAGGGAAAATGAGGAATAACCCCCTCATTAGGTAAAATAATATAATACAGGCCCAATTTATAATTGACCATTTATAGACAAATCCATTTAATGTTTTCTGAATTGTGTGACCCCCTAAGCTTATGTTAATGCTCATTATGCCCTTTTTTATTCATATTTTTCTCCAACTCTCTCTCTTCTCCTAATTTCTCTCATATACGTCATTTTATATCTCCATTAATTTCTCTCTCTTCCTTATTTTCCTCAATTTTTTAACGTGTTCTTTTATTTTCTTATTTTTCTCTCTCATCTCTCCTATCTTCTATCTCTTCCTTCCCTTTTCTCTCTTCTCTCTCCTCCACAATTTCATCCTTTCCCGTATCTTTTTATTTTCTTCTTTTTTCTCCATCTCTCTCTTCTCTCTCTCTCTCTATCTCTCTCTCTTCTTATTTTTCTCTCTCCTCTCTTTTATCTTCTCTCTCCTCCCCAATTTTCTCTTTTCCCGTATCTTTTTCTTTTTTTCTTTTTCTCTCTCTCTCTTCTTTCTCTTCCCACTCAATTCCTCTTTTCTCGTCTGTTTCTGTTGTTTGAAATTTTGAGTGTGGGACTCAATTTTGGTTGATTATTTAAGTGGATTAAATTTAGTTTCTCAAAATTAAATGAATGAGAAATTAATAAAATCACTTAATATAATAAATGGAATATAAAGAAAGTGAAATGCCACATTGAAAAAGATGGAGGTGTTTAAACACCTATTAAATTGAATGGGTGTGTGGTTAATGGGAAAAGGTGTGATACCTTTTCATGAAATTATTTTCCTAAGAGTTGTGACTTGTGGTCATAACCTTTGAAAATCTATAAATAGATTCCAAAATCCACCGTTTGAAAGAGTTAATATTCACATGGAATTCAATACATTAATTGAATTCACTTCTCGTCATAACATATCATTGCATATTGTTGCATTACCAAGTCCTTTTCTTCGTGTCTTATAAAGTCATAAACGTCGTTTCGTTCGCCGTGTTCCAATAATTGTTGTGCTGCTTTGTTGGAACTGAAATAGTCGTTGTATCTTGGGAGACAATTGCCATAACCGAGAGCACTGCACGGGGCAAATTTGTCTTAAGGAGAAAGAACCTAGTTCTTGCCTCGACTACATTTTTCTTGTCAAACTTTTGTCCAAATTTTGTTCGTTCTCATTTCGAAATACACACACCCAAATAACATCTGTTTCATTTTTTTTCCACTATTTCTTCTCACTACTGTACATTTTCTTCTATATCTCATTTTTTGGTCCTTGAAATCAATTTATTTTCTACTCTATGAAATTTATGTTTTCATGACCTTTTCTTCTATATCTCATTTTTTGGTCCTTGAAATCAATTTATTTTCTACTCTATGAAATTTATGTTTTCATGAAGATGGGATCTTTATCATGAGTATTCAATTTTATAACATCATAGTATCTTAAATTGAAAAATAATATGGTAAATTAATGGAAAAATTATAGTTGACTACCAATTTTTTTATAATTGACATTTGAACAATTATAGTTGACTATCTAATTTTTGTAGTTGACTCTGGAAAAAATTAGTTAACTACCACTTTTTATAGTTGACATCGTAAAAATTATAGTTGACTATCTAATTTTTATAGTTGACTTCGGGAAAAATATAGTGAACTACCGATTTTTATAGTTGACTCTGAGTGAACTACCGATTTTTATAGTTGACTTCGGGAAAAATATAGTGAACTACCGATTTTTATACTGATCTTTTCTTTATTTTGGACTCTGATAAAACAAATTTCATAGGAAAACAAATATTTATGAGTCAACAAATAATGCGACCATAAATCTGTTGATCTAAAAAACAATCGTGTTTACAAACTCCATTTTTGAGTAATCAACCATGGAAGACATCCGAACCGTCGCATATGGTCGTCGCGTACCGCTGTATACCGTTTCTGTAGGAGACCTCGATTTTGTCATTCGGAGTCGCTGAAGAAGGTGTCAAAAACAGAAATTATGTGGTAGAGATGGGTATATAGCAAACTACCTGTCTTCTTCTTGCCGTTCTTCACCATTGTTTGTCAACCTGTGTTGCTGAACGAATTGCACAATATAATGGTATTCTGGTTTTTATTTTTCGCTGAAGATGTAGCAAACTAGGGCAATGTTTGAAAGGGGAAAATATCCGATATATATTGCAGTTTGTTTTTTTGGAGAATTTCTCGGCATAAATATAGCAGGCCAACGGAAATGGGGGAGAAATTATATTGAAGAATATGGTTTAAGATATGCAGTATTTGGGGAAAACGGTGGGGGGGTCTTTGCTATTACAAATTGTAGGGGTAGTTCAGTAATTGACATTTCTGAGGGGGTTTGACCCATTAAAAATATTGTAAGGTGGTTAGTCCTAATATTTTTTCTAATGAGGGGTTATATCTTATTAACCCTAGAATTTAATATATTAAATTAATGTAGGTTATCTGGCTTAACCATCGGAGGGGTTTTCGTCGGATCAACCCCGACTTAGTTCACGTTTACTTTTTACGCCGGAATCTCCAAATTATTAAGGTGTCTCAGTAGCATTTAGCTCATGAGCCAGTGATTCACTGTACTCTTCCAACTCTTTCTATTTCACTACCAAATGTGATCTAATAATAGCATCATGCTTTAGAGTTTCATAGTGACCCGTTTTATTGAATTCGAGCAAAAATACTACATTTGAAGAGTGCAAAATGGAATCATGCCTAAAATTATTAATACGTTCATAAACAAGGAATAATATTATGTATTTTTTAGAGAAAAAAAAATCCTATTTTGGCCTTCTTGCGGTTAACCATACATATGCAATTCTCATTTAATTTTGGTTTGTATCAAATTATTTTTCGCGATAAAGTGAACTTAGATTTATAATGTGATCCAATACTCGACGAATACTTGTAATATTATCCAGTCATAATAAAATTAGAGTCACACCATTTTCACCACACAAAACTGCGAAGGGTAAAAATAGATAAAGGGCATGGT